ACATAAACTTCCTGCCATTTCGAATTTGTTCCAGATTACTTTCATCATTACGTATTTACGAAATATGTAATATAAAAAAGCCAATATGAAATTTTCATAGTTCAGATTAATATTTTTGATTAAAAAATGGGAAGTTGGAAATTTGAAGTGTTGAAGGTAAGTTAAAACAAGAGATTTTGTCGTAGGTTTTGAGAGACAAATTTCAGAAGGTTAAATATTGCTGAAACACCTGTCAACAAAATTCCAAACGTATGCCAAAATATATGAACGAAAATCAAGTAGTTAGTACTGACCATTTTGACATTAAATACCGACTTCCAACATTTATACTGTGCTATATGCAGCTGTTAACCGGAATTATATACAATGTTGCAACAACAAAATTATCCATTACGTAAAAATTATCTAATGTCATTAACTGGTTAGGTAACTTTCAGATCACTTTCCTTAAAAGACCATTTGTCATCTTGCTTTTAATAAACTTTTTCATGTTGTTTTGGATAAGATTTGCTTTTACATACACTATAGTGTATAAATAAATATGTATTACTTTTATGAAACAAAGTTTCCTACTTATGTAATGTTATAATCCTTAAACATTTTTTAGTCATGCAACATGACTTATCTGGCTTTTTTAGTATTTTCATCAGTATTGAATATTATAACAAGCTTTTTTTTTTTAAAATGCCCAACAAATGTGGTCATGTTAGTAGGCAGTTTTTTGTGTTTGAATTGGGGAAGGGGATGGGGGTCTGTATTGAGATTAAAATCATCAGTATGCTTATAACCCTCTCACTGCTTTTTTTCTAGACCGCGTGCTATGTGGGATTTCCAATCGCCATTGTTGTGATGCAGAACTTGAATCTGACAGAAAAATTTGTCATCCAAGATCTTATTGTAAGTAAATGCAAGGTGACAATACAGGCCAAATATTTACTTGCTACATACTGTATTACAGTTATATTATAAAATTTATTTTAAATTATATATTGAACTACTTTATATTATATTAAAGTAATAATTTAATACAAGTGAGTGGGACTGAGGAACACTTGATCAGGGGTCTTATCCCCCATTTAGACTCCTTGAGAGTCATTATTGCTAAAAATGTTATAATTATATGTTATTATAAACTGATGGGTTGTATTGCCCAAAGTTATATTCTGAATAAACTATACTCAAAGAAATTCTCCATTTTGACAGTCAATACCTTTAATGATTATTTTCCTTATAGTTATATCAATCTGTATTGTAATGCCAGTTGACAAATGTTGTTTATCATACATGGGAATAAGCCATGATGTAACCACAATGTCAAAATATTTCTAAGTTTTCATTACAAAGGAGAAGGGCATGTGTAATAGGAAAAGAGGAATGAACAAGCACATTTACGCATTGAAAAAATTTATGACTGGACCAGGGATCAAATCTGGGAACCCTATATTACTATATTGGTGCTCTAATCACTGAGCTATCCAGATCAATATCCACAATCTATATAGCCCAAGTTGAAATATATATGAAATGAATATGTTTGGGAACTTCTTGCACTTGCATTAATTTATTATTACATGAAATGGATAACAATCCACCTCTAAAGACCGAAAAAAAGATAATGTGTAAATAGAATTAGTACTGGTTAGAGTAATAATATGACTGCAGTCAAACAATTTCGCAAATTTCTTTCTTGAAGGAGTATTTTTTTTAAAATGCATAATTGGCATATTTTTTAATGGACTGATCATTACCTTTTTTGCAGGCTGAAGTTCAACAAAAAGATTTAAGAGGTGTAAGTAGGTGCAGCTTTAATTCCTAAAATATTATCATCTTGAAGTTCTTTTGACACATTTTCACCAATTAAGAATGGTGCCATTTCTAGGATTTTGTTGATTAAATTGGCAGCAATCCCCCCCCCCCCCTTCCATCTTTTACCTTATGATTACTTACGTAGTTATATCTTTTTGTAATAGGAAAAATAGGTAACTTCAAGTGCCTGTGTATTAAATATACCAAATTTTGACAAACTTTTGTAAATCAATAATACAAGCAATTCTGTTTAAAAGCTTAATATTTCTTCAAGAAATATGTTGACTTGATATGTTAAATATTTTTTATAATTTTATAGGAAAAAGTAATTCGGGAGAAGAAAAAAGAAATTTTGCTGAAGGACAAACAATACTGGGACTCATTGGCATCAAAAGCATAAACCATAGACTCTGTACAAAGCTGACAAACTTGTAAATAGTGTTCTTGTATGAGTGTTCAGAGTGACTGTGATTGACTATAAAAATAAATAAATCATGTAAAAAATGCCTAGTCATTTTATTATTCATCTGAGGCTTTTTTAGATTTGATCTTTATGTAGTGTTGTTGTCTCTACTATGCCCCACTTATGTTGAAGTACAGTGTAATAAAACATATTAAACTTAGCTATGAGAGATTGCATTAGGTCATATTGCTTATAAAGTTCATATTGTGGTCACGACTTCGAAGAAATACCAGTCAATTTATTTACTTTTTAAATGATCAGGAATATTTATGCTCTAGCTGTGATTAGTCTAGACTCCCTTTCCCAAGAACCTCAGAGCGAGTTTGTCTCAAAATGAGGTTTATTTGGGTTTTCCCCCCTTGAACAAACATAGATTTGCTGGGTACATTTTTTTTCAACCAATCAAATTGCTGATTTGTGTCGGTGTAAATGTAAACATGGTAGATCCCAGTACTGAAGAGACTTAACTCGTTTATAAATAAGTATTTTTTTTATTGTATTGTTTTCCACCATCAAGCTTTTGTTAAAATGATGAAATATAATTTGTTACACTACACATTATGTGTGTTTTATACTTGTTGGAGACAAGAACTTAGATGTCAAAAATGTTGTAAAATTCCTGATTATTAAATAAAATGGTTGTTGAATTTTTAATTTGGTCTATACTTGCGACTATGCAGACCTGGTCAGGTATTATTGGTTAATTATTTTGGCCTTCACTTCGGTCAATCAAAACCTGGTCAAAAGTAGATGTTATCAAAATTAAGTCAATAATTGTATAATATATGATCACATAGGAAATTAATTAAGACAACTTCATCATTATTTTGTTCATCTCCCTAGATTACATATAATCTTTAATAGGTCCAAATAGGGTTATAAACATTTGAAATTTTAGATTAAATGTACAGCCATCTTTATATTCATTGATTAAAAAAATGCAGACTGTTGTGTCCCATTGGAAAAATACACTGATAAAATAAAAAAAAAAAAAAAAGAAAATCCATAAGATCAAGAGACAAATAGTTCAACAAATTTTATTATCAACTTGTAAGCAAACATATATTATTGCTCCTGCAGAATACCAGTATACTCCAGTGTATTATCTGGCAACTAGAAAAAAAGGAAAGCACCTGTTAATTACTGAGAAGAAAATAATATACAAGAGGATTTAACATGAATAGTATAATTAACAATTTCAAATAATAATTTCTTTTCACTTCATTATCCAGAGTCCAAGGTATATATTATGTATAGTATAAACTATAAAGTATAAAAATTATAATAAATCAGAAACTTAAGTGCATCAGAGGATAAGGATTAAATGTTTATATAGTTGTAGAAAGCGGATTTTATATGTGCATTTTCATGAGTTCGAAGCATGTGTGACAATATTTTAAAAATCGTGTTTCAAAAAATAATGTCCACAGATCCTGATGCATTAACCAGCTAGTAAACATTGAACTTTTGATTCATTCTATCAAAAACTAATAAAGAGCCCAAAAATTATTAACTTCATATAACAATATATACAGTGTCATAAGAAACAGAATCTAAAAAAACAGTTTACCATATTTGGAATCAAGAAGGTATAGCAAGAGCAGAGCTGCTTTGTACTTAGTAAAAATGTGCATAAAAATTCGGATGTATAAGCATAAGATATAAAATTAAACACCTCAACAAATCAATGATAGATACTGAATTAAAAAATATCATGTTTTCTATGGTGTAATGTAGACTATCAGACTTGAGTTACATACAACCCTACACCAGCTAATACTGAAACCATTACATCTTGGTAAACTAGGTCTGTATGCTGAGAAAATGCACAATAGCAAAGGACACACAGTATAAATTAATTTGATTAAATTTAATTGCCATTTAAGTTTTTAGCCAGACCCCTTTTCGGAATTTTCATTATTATTAAACAGTATAACAAGTTTATAACAAACATGTTTTGCGTGCATGAATTATAACAGTCATTTTTACATGTATTTTATGACATATATCAACAAAATTTTTGCAGAGCAGAAGTAATTTGGTTGTTTTAAGTAATTTTTTATTTGTGTATATATCAGTGTTTTATTATAGTGAACTGAAAATGACATTGAAACCAACCACCCCTGGAAACCTTTTAGAAAAGAAAATTATATAAATTGAAACTATACACCCTCATTTAAAATTGCTTTATGTTATTCATTCAATGAGACGATAACAAATTCAACTTTCAAAATGTGAATTTTTGCAAATCTTTGTGTGAAACATGCACAGGTACCTAGCTACTAATATGTGAACCTTGTTTTGTCATAATACAATTGCATTTATGCCTGCACATCTGTGCACTCAACTACAAACCCTATAATTATGAAGGAGTAAAAAGATTTGCCGCTATTGTGACGTCAAACACCTGCTCTGACGTCGATCGACGTAGGTCTCCCCTGCTATTGAACAAATTACTGGAACTACTATATTGCTGCTAATCATTAAACCAGCTCTCTTGATTACATGTATTTCTATAACAGCTACGCTTATAAGCAGTGTCTGTATGGAAAAGCATGTGCCTATATACCATTTGAACAGTTTGTACTATGCCATGAACTGGTGCTTCTTGTGTAGAATTAGTTAATACTCATGCTCTGTTTTTGAAGAGACTGAAAATAGATTTTATAAACAAAAAAAAAAGTTTTGTTTTTTTTTAATATTACAAATTACAAAAAAATTAATTTCTCATCGTAAAATCATTTACAGTTTATTATTCATATTACCCAATCTAATTAAAATTATATGTGACCACATGGTACATTTGTAAAATTGTAAATGTCAGAAGGAAAAATTATAAACATAAATAAGTACATGTATTTCACACATTAATTCCTCTTAAATTAGAGCTGAGATTTGTGTCTCACTCCTACACATTATGCATAATAGAACAATTCCAGACACTAGGGCATGTACACATACCATATCTGCCAGAATTATTAGATATAAATACAGATAAAATTTACCATATACTGAATTCTATAACAAATAAACCTTAATTATATTGAATTTTCTGCTACTCCTAGATTGCATTGTATAAAACATAGACCCTAACTTTTAAAAAAAAAATTTAGTGCATAATTTCATTGTACAATGTATTGAAAAAGCGGGAGCTTAAACTTTGCTGTTGGGAAATAAATTTAACTCCCTGACTGATTTTTTCCTCTCTTATAAGATCAACTGCAGGAGTAGTTGAGATTAAATCTTAGTATTAATGACTTCATTGCTAAGTTCCTTAAAAGTATGGTTATTCTGTATAAATGACAAAACCTTGTGCTTACACACATGAAAACTATTTGAAATATTAGAAAACACCAGAAAAAATGTAATCCAGTTAGGCAAATCATGAACAATTTTTCATGGTTTATAAAAAAAAAGTGTTGTATGTTTATTTAGATGTAAAATGCTGGTCACAACAATAAAACAAGAGACCATCTGCTACATTGCTCACCTGAGTCACTTGGCCCTCCTGTTCTTCATCACAAGATTAAAAAAAATATTTTCAAACTTTAATCACATGAAAAATTCTTAACCCTATTGTGGCCTTACCCTAGTCCTCAAGGATTATGACATGACCTAACTATTTTAAATCAACACATCCTGGGGATTTTGAAAAAAAAAATGAATCAACAAAAATATGGAATATTTCCATGTGAAATCTCAGAATTTTTGTTTCAATTTCCTTTTAAAATATTCATCTCCTATTGTGGCCCACCCTACCCCAGGAGGGCTGTGATTTGTACCAACTTGAATCTTCATTACCTCAAAATGCTTGCTTGTTACCATAATATCAGAAATCATGACCTAGTTATACTTGAAAAAGATGATGGTTTTTAAACATGTTTCCTATATATTCCAAATGTAAATCTGAGATCCCCTATTGTTGCCCTAGCCTTCCCCATGGGGCCATGATTTGAACAAATTTGAATCTGCACTATCTGAAGATGATTGCATATTACATGTATTAATATCACTGATCATGGCCTGGTTGTTCTTGAGAAGAATAAGTGGTGGTTCTTGAGAAGAAGATTTTTAAATGACCCACCCAAATTTACATTATTTCTTAATTATCTAAATCCCATTTTCCCAAGAAAAATGGAAAATGTGGCAAGTTTGGTTGAAATTGGCCCAGTGGTTATTGAGAAGACGTCAAAAATGTTTAAAAGTTTACAGACGGACAGACAGATAAGTGGACAGACAGACATATTCTGAACAAAATGTGATCAGAAAAGTTCACTTGAACTTTCAGCTCAGCTGAGGTAAAAGGTCTTGAGAATAACATTTTGTTAATAAAATAAATAAAGCAAAATATTAATTTACAGTTCAGTGATATAAGATTTCTCATTCCTTGCTGTAGATGATTAGCTTGCCCTATGTGTATTGTTATATATGATATGTGCTTAGATATCTCATTATTAAGCTGTAAAGATTATCAGTATAATATATATCAGGGGTACCAACAGGCTAAAGCCTTTGGATTACAAAGATATAACAGGAGTAAATAAAGAATTGGAAGGATATATAACAAACAATAAATTTTAACATAAATAGAAAGAAATGTTGTTAACAGAAACACAAAACGCCAGCATTAAGCACTGTGCAATTAGTGGCCACAAGTACAACACGCGTAACTGCAAGAGGTCAAACTGCAAGAGGTCAAAAGGTGAAGATCAAGGTTGAGGTGAAGCAACATGACTGCCACCCCCAGTAGATAATTGTAAATCATTTGAATGTTTTACACTTAGCCGGTCTTCATCTGAATGTACGTTGTAGAGAGGAATGCTGGGATTACTGGCACTGCTCCGACAACACGCTACATCTGCCATTACATCTGACACAAAAAAGATCTGAAAAAAAAATAATGAATCAGAATGGGTTTCAAAGAATATGTAACTAATGAATGGGTTGTTCTGTCCCCAAAGAAGATTCAATATGCCATGTAGCATAAATCCATCTTAATAAAAATGCACTTACAGCATAAAATATAACAGATTTTTCTTGAAATAAGATTAGATTAAATCAAAACACATCAGATGAATTAACGATACATATATTCTCTTTATCGCTAACACATGTATTAACAAGTGTGTTAGATGTAAGTTATAATCTGAATGCAGTCATGAAGTATATTTACTTTAAAAGTGTAAATACATGTAAGCTATGAAAAAACTGATACATGTACATGACAAAAAAAAATTCAGACACTGACCACAAGAATGGCTACTGCAACTCCAAGAACAGACCCCCCTAACACATCACTCCAGTGGTGCATGTAGTCTGAGATCCTTGAGATAGAAGTGTAGTATGCAAATATAAACAGGACCATTTGTATCACTGGCCTCAGTAACCAACACTTTCTCCATGTCATTCTATTCTGGAGGTACATCTGTAAAACAGGTCAGAAGTACTGTCACTCTTAAATTTGAGCTTAGTCGTTGATATGAATTATCATGTTCTCTGGATTATGTGTGCTTAGTAAGTCACTGGTTTTGGCCTTTGGAGAAAACAGTGAAAAGTGACTGCATGGTTTATGAAAATGGATGAATAAACTGACGTATACTTACAATCGCAAAGAACATACAATACATTGTAATGGAACTGTGCCCAGATGGAAAAGACAATCTATAAAATAAAAGAGGGTGCCTGCAGCTAATTGTAACAGAAATACCTAATCTTATTCAGGTTAGCAATAAAAAGTTATTTTTTAAATGCTAAACTGGGTTAATACCTGTACCCATGGCACTATGTAAACTGCAATACTCAAAATATGGCAAAAATTGCATTCCTGTTAAAGCTCAACAGACAACTTTTGAACAAGCATTCTGAAAGTATTGCATTAGCAATACTAGTCCCCTACCGGCAAGTGTAATGTGGTTCCCGTTAAGAATTGAAAATGCCATAATTCCGTCAAAAATCAATGAAGCGGGGCAAAATGCAAACTTGATCTATAACTAATCAAGATAAAGTCACATACCAAAAATCAGTTCAATATCTGAAAGCGTTTAGAAGAAAATTGCGGAAAACCCCTAAAAATTGAAAAGGCCGTAATTCCGTCAAAAATCAATGAAGCGGAACGAAATGCGAACTTGATCTGTAACTCATCAAGATACACTCACATACCAAAAATCAGCTCAATATCTGCAAGCGTTTAGGAAAAAAGTGCGGAAAAACAAGTGGGACAGACTGACAGACAGACAGAGGGACAGACAGACAGACAGATGGACAGACAGACAGACAGACGGACGGACAGTCTCAGAGGAAACCTATAGTCCCCTCCGGTTTCACCGGTAGGGGACTAATAACAATTGTCTGTGACCTTCTAATGCCCTTGAATCAAGGTAATGATGTACATTGAATATTCTATGATGTACATGTATTAGGTTATTTTGTTCTCCAGTACAAAGTATACCTATGAAACACACATTTTACTCTTTGCTTCCTGTCAAGTTGACTTTCTTCAAATGATCTTAATTGTTTCAATAAAAAAAACACACCTTTGGTCATTTACTACCTTTATGGAGAGTATAAGCTAAAAAAAGATCTCCATTACAAAGTTATGAATTGGGTACCAATTCTATACTCCCATTTTCTTCTTCAAAATATGAACCAAAGGTGAATTTTACCATTATATTCCATGTGACCTTGACTTTCATCAAGTAACCTTTAATATCAAAATTCAGGACATATTCTTAGGTTCTACACAATCTTTGTGGCAAGAAGAGATTACAAAGTTTCTTTCCTTTTTTTAAAGTTACAGTGAGTTACAGACAGACAGACTGATACACATGATGATTTTTTTTATATACATGTAGATGGTTACACCCAAACTTTGTTTGCAAGGAGCATAAGTATTTGTTTTACACCATAAAGAGTCTGAATGTTCTTAAATAACCATTCAGTAATAAGTATACAATGTTTAAATAACTGAGTACCTAGCTTCTTTAATAGCTTCCAGGTCAGTCCCTGTACAGACATAATCTTCTATATAGCCTGTGTTCCAGGTACAATTCTGGATACTTGGTTTACATACACTGTAGAAATGAGGTCTCAGTCGTCCAATGCTATACTTGGCAATATCTGTCAACATCTGAGTAATTGCAGCCCCAAATAAAAAGGAACTCAGAGTTCTGTACACCGAAATCACAAACTTTCTTTTTGTTACATCAAGGAAATTTCTTTTGGAAACTGAAAACCTTGAAGCCTCTATAACAATAATCTACAATTAAAATGACTCTTTCAATTTAATTCTTTATTCTCTCCAAACCAGACCACTGGTACAAGAGGTACATATATACAATCAAAAATAACATTCAAGGGTCAAAAATAGACAAGTATATAAAGAAAAAAGAAAAGAATAAAGTAAAAATTATATTCAGTGTTATATTTGGAGGATTCAAGAAGGACAGACAATTTTTAAAATTTTCTTAATAAATTTTGACAATAATTTTTGTATTTCTACACTATTTGTGTTCACAAGTTCATTAAATTTAAAATGTTAGGATTTTTATAATATCTATTTTGGAGAAATATTTTTCTGTCTTTCAAAAGGTTCTTGCATTCCACATAACATAATGAAATTCATTTTATAGTCACAAATGGTACATCTTCTTAAATTTCTATCAGTATTATTCTACCTGTTTCAATTGGCAAATGATGATTACATGTCTGTAGTTTTGCAAGTGTAATTCTTAAATCTTTTGGTAAATTCAGCAAATAATTAAGACCAAAGTTTGTTTTAAAAATTCTATAATTAATACATTTGGATGTACTATCAAAAACGCTTCTCCATTCTTGTACAAATTGATTTTTCAAAGTTTCTTTAATAATTGACTTAGCCAGTTAAAGCTATAAAATGTTTGATTTGTCCATACATAATAATTCAGGATATCAGTTTTCTTGTATACATTTTATCCATGGGTGTACAAAAGACCCATCGATTATAAGACTTATAAAAATATGAATAAATCACATTCTTATAATTTTTTAATTATAAGATAATACAAGACCAAAGCATGAATTTTATCTTAATATTTTTTTTTTCAAAACACTTACATAAATCTTATCTTGCATGTCCATATCTGTTTCCCACAGGGCTATACATGCACATGTATTAAATAAAATATTGCTGACATACATGCACTTACTAAATTATGTGACTGCATGGTTTTGTTGAGTAATTTTCAACATTAATTTTGTTCCTTTTAATTTTATTGTATTTGCATAATCAGTTTATAAATATTAATTTACTAAAAAAAAATATACTAGGTTGAAAAAAAAAGCTGTGTCCTGTTTCCTTATCTATAATGAGTTTCCTGATAACAAGGGTGACAGGATCTTCATGCACAGTTATGCTACATTTCCTTTTTAAAAATATATACTCCTAATATTTGCCCCGCAAATCACTGAAAATAAATACAAATTATACATGTATGTGGAAAAAAGTTTAAAACTATTCAAAATCACATACCATAAATTAAGATATATTTAATATTTTATAAATATATAGAAAAGGTCATAACTTTATTTGATATAGCAAAAAAATGCATATGTTTACTTTAATTGAAACAATATTGCTTTGCAATGCAATTTGCAAGTAACTCAATAATTCTATCATTTGAAATATCATTGTATTCTAAAAATGCCATATTAGAGGTACTATGAGTTAAGAAAGCAGAACTTAAACTAGAAATAAGCAACAAAAACTTACAAACAATATAGGAATAGTTAAGCCAACAAATGAAGCAACCCACGTGGGAATTGTGTTAGGTTTATGTGGATGTTTAATACTTTCATCATCACAGTAGAACCCACGATGAAATGATTTTCCCAGAAGATACAAAATTAAACTAGGCAAGGCCACTACAACAGAAGCAATTTATATTCAAACTTACAGAATAAGTGTTTAAGACAGTAAGATAAAATAACATATTAAGATTGTATGTACTATTAGTAAGATACAAAAAAATAATGCATACATATTTATATAAACTTATCACATTTACTCCTTGATACAGTGGATATCATAGTATATGCATATTAACAGTTGTAACATGACAATTAGTGGTTTTTGTGTAAAAATGATGAAGTAAATTAAATAACATGTGATATAAAGAATATCCCATGGTTTGTGTCCAACTCTCATTTTCTATAACCAAGACTCAGGGATAGAAAACATACAACTTGTTGGATAAAAATCATATCCAACCACAAACAATGGGAGATCCTATCTATAATACACTGTACATGTATATAGTATACACTTATAAAAAAAAATTAAACTACGCTTTTGAAATTATTTTGATTATTTTAGGAATGACTCTAATTCTTGGACAATTTATTCGAGTATAACCTGGTTTGGGTCAGTTTACGCTTTATAATCCGCGAAGCAGATTATAAAACAGCATAAACTGACCCAAACCAGGTTATACTCGAATAATTTGGCCAAGAATTAGAGTCATTCCTTATAATTTAATTTTAAAATTATTAAATAACTATGGGACTAAAATTACGTTGCTTTTTATTAGTTCAAATTTGCCGCTCAATAATACAACCATAGTAACGGAAGTGATGGGAAGCGAGGGGAGGTAAAAACTGATACATAGGCCTAGCAGCCTTGTTGTTTGTTTACATGTGGTAAGATCGAATTATTGTTTGAAGTTAAAGGTACATTTATTGAATCTGGAATTTTCCATGAATCCCGAGGACTGGAAATGAGAGGATTGTATGGATACAGATGATTCAGCTGGTTGTCAGGGGGGAGTGTCCCCATACCAAACCAGGTTACACAGAAATAATTTGTGTTCCTTTTTGGATATTATTAACCAATCAGAGGCTAGAATACAAACAAAATTAAATTATTTAAAGATGACTTTTCTGAACTCAAAATATAATCTTTTCTCTATTTTTTAGGTATGCTACAGCTAGTTAGTTTATATTACATGAATTAGACATATAGTTTCAAAAAATATATGCATAAAATATGTAATTCATAGAATAAGCATGCTTACAGAAAAAAAAGTTACTAGCTCTTACAGAGTGGCTTAAGTTGACAACATTTGTTCATTACAAGTAAGAAATTTACATGTATTAGAACATAAAATACTTTTATAAGCTGTTTAATATCTATCATGACTACAGACTGAATGAAATGGATATTTTTATCTCCATATTTACAAAAATTAATTCATGCAAATGTTTTGTGAATTCCAGAGAAAAATGAAATTGATAAATATATAGTTGTGTGAACTTGTGAACTACCTCGTGTATTAATTCCTTACTATGAAGCTCTGTAACATACTACCCTATGCCTCAGGGCTTGGCGATCAATCAAATGTTCGAGGTCAAAGTAAAGCTGGGAAGTGAACATCCTTAATTTATGTCAAGTGGAAGGAAGTTTATGGGATAGTGTTTTTATGTATACAACTAAGAAAATATGTTTTAAAAAAACAAAGAGCTCGGTGTATTCTGCTATTGTTTATCATAATTTCAATGAATAATACATGTTTTCTGATTTCTCTTCTTCATATATTGCAATCATATGTATTATAAATGCACTGTACTAGCTTAATTACAGCTGTAATTTGGGAATTCAACAAATTTTATGCTCTTCATACAGTACCATAATAAATCTAAGTGGTAATAATTGTATATTGTGTGCATTTTCATTTTTATATTTGATATGACTCGCTGCGCATAATACTTGCACTCGCAGAAGTATATTGAATTTAAGGTTATATCAAAGTACAATTGTAGCATATATAACCAATATTTGATACAGTCAGCATTGCCCCAGATTCAAAGGCAATCATATCGAACTAGTCTTAAAACTGTAAAAAGAAGAGCAGAAATTAAATAAGACAAACTTTATCTCTCGAGAGCTTACATGTTTACCGGATTACTTTGTGGATGAAATGTTAATTATTTGTAAAAGTTAAAAAAAAATAAGATTAAAAAAAACCTGCTGTCAGACAGACTGCGTCAATAACCACCCTGTACACAATCTTCCGTATCATGTTGCCAATCTCTTTCAGAATACACACTACTTGTTCATTCTCACATGCCTCGATGTCCAAATTGTCAATAAGTCGTTATGTTACGCACTTACTTCCGGTTAAAGTGAAAGTAGTGTAGATACATTCATTCAGAATGTCAAAATCTGACAACAGATGTGTATTTTGTAGGATTGCCAATTTACAAGACCCTTACACAAGAATTTTGTTTCAGGTATTGTTAATTTTGCTTTCTTCACGAACAGAAAACCTATAAATGCTATATGCTCATCCAAAGACTTACAGTTGATCAGTAAAAAATAATGAAAATATACACATACAATTCAAGATACATGTATATATTTATTATGTTATTTAACTAAAGTTAAAACACGTACGACAAACAATCTAACTGCATTAAATTATAAAATTTTACCAGCGTACTCAATCGTTCTCTAGCGTACTCTGTTTAGTACTAGCAGGACCGGTTGATATAGTTAATTCGCAGTGGCACAGGATTCTTTATAATTATATTCTTTATTATAGTTTTAGTTTCACTAAGACATTAAAGACTAGTGCTGTTCTGTTTATTAAAATCTCTTAACCATCTTGTTCGGTTCATTTTGCCGTTATTTATGTAGATAGAATTATTCTGAAACACATGATTATTCTAAAGATATGGCTTAATCGCTTTTTTGGTTAAAATTAATTAATACATCGTTAGATAAAAGTTTTCCTAATTTCATTTGAGTCAATTTTTCAATGTCAGAGTAGAACCAGCTTTTTTCTATTTATTTGAGGTGGTTAGTGCTGGTTGAATAGTCATAAAACTGAGAATATTCATGAGCATTTTAAAATTATTAATCTTACTAAATCAAATGAAACAAACTAGATATTCTCATGAATTGATTTACCCTCTAATTCAGAGTTAAATTGAAATTCTGTCCATTTATATATTTATTCCTGTGCATTTTCAGGATGAGGAGTTTGTTGCATTCCGTGACATCAGACCTGCAGCAGATCATCATTACCTTATTGTAACTAAACAACATATAAAGAATCCCAAACAACTGAAGGCAGAGGACCTAGAAATGTGTATGTGCGTAAATAAAAAAAAATTTAAAAAGGAATAACTTCTTTCATCTCTCTTAGCTGTGCCTTAGTACTTGTACATAGTAAATTAACATTTCCAGAATTAATATTTCAAATTACTAAGTTGTATATTATTATTATTATTTATTTTTTTTACTATTATTTGCGGTTGTATGAAGTAAATTATCACAGTAGTGTACCAGGCTTTAAACTGAGTTACTTTATATTAGACAGTTTTTTTTTCTATTAGGAAATGTAATGTGACATACAAAGTAAAATTATTTCATTTTGATTTATAACTTATGTATATAATTAAAGAAAAATTTCTTTAGAGCTCGTATTTGTTTACAGTTGAACGACTAATTGCGACGGGAGAGAAGGTGTTGGAGAATGCTGGAGGGAAATATGAAGAGGCCAGGTAATTCTCTGTTTGACCTATGCCCACAGGTAACACTTTACCTGTAATCATCCATTTAGAGTTATTAAAGGTTACTGCATTCTGTGTAATCCTCCTGTTCAGTGTTTAGAGCTGAAACGAATGTTCGAATATTCGCGAATGAATAGTAAATGACGAATATTCGAATGGAAATTTAGCGTTCGAATATTCGGTCAAATGATTTGTACTTCAATTTTTTCTTTGTTGATAAAATTATATTGGTATTATAACGATGAAAACTTTTAGTATTAATAAGATTTAGAGCTACTTTATCCTATCAGTGCTCCAACTGCACTATTGACTACCTCTCAGGATTTTATTACTGTTAGAAAGTACTGGAAATATGATTAGAAATTTAAACAAAGAATGCAAATATTTTTTCTCAGTGTGAATCCCATTGAATATATGCTCAAGATATTTCATTTTCATATGGAGTGTTATTCACGCTACCAATTTCATCACTGATCGTATGCGTGGCCCCGCAATTCCCATGCGTTTTTCTATTACAGGTGTTACTTAATCACGCAAATGTGTTTGTTTTAAAAAGAGATAATTTTAAAAACTAATCACTGACTTTATTTTTTTTGAAACACGATTGTTTACAGATTGATCTCTGAAACAAGTGTCATGTTAGTACCATGTTTAGCAATGCGCAACGTGAATATACCGATAACGCACGTGGACTTTCACTTTTCTGCAGCATGTGTCATTGTAACTATCAAACTGTGACAACTTTTCTGTATTTTCCATGCATTAAATTTTATAATTTTTAGCATGTTAAGATGGCTTCCTATTTTAATATGTTAATTTACACATTTTGGGCAAATTTCTAACCTTTCGTCATAAAAAATAAAAAATGTCTATACTGCGTCATCAAATATATATATATATATATATATATATATATATATATATATATATATATATATATATATATATATATATATATATATCGTCAGTTTTTCATTTGGTACGAGGAAAAGCTGCATGCCTAACTTAAACAATGGGCAGTTTAACGTCAAATAACTATATCGAAATGAATTATATACGTATACAGAATTTTTATGGTCTGCAAATGTATCATAGCAAGATATACTTTAAATGTAACAACGACGAATATTCGAATACGAATAGAACAGTAGTCCCGAATTCGTTTGTACGATTAAGAAATTCGTTTGAACGATTTTTTAAAGTCGTTTGAACGATTTTTTAAAGTCGTTTGAACAATTTAGAAATTCGTTCGAACGATTTAGAAATTTGTTTGTACAATATTTTAGAATCGTTTGTGCGACTTAGAAAATCATTTGTACTATTTACAAAAACAAAGGAAATACATTGATCTGCAAATGAATATGCAATTCTCACACGACCTATTTTGAAACAATTGAAATTGATATAGACAGAACACTTTTTTGGCCAATTATGATTTATCTCCAAAGTAGAACACTTTTTTGGCCAATTATAATTAATCTCCAAAGTAGAAGTTTGAAAGTTCTCCCACTCGTACAAATGATTTGAAAAATCGTACAAACGATCGAAGAAATCATACAATAGAATTTCTGATTTCTACAAACGAATTTCTAAATCGTTCTAACGATTTAAAAAATCGTAAAAACGAATTTCTAAATCGTACAAACGATTTTAAAAACCCGTACAAACGATCTAAAAATCGTACAAACGAATTTCTAAATCATACTAACATTTCTTTAAATCTTTCAAGCGAATTTCTTAATTGTACAAACGAATTTGTTAATCATTATGACTTCGCCATTATGCACATATGGAAGTTGAGTTATTATTTTGTGAGTACAGTGCTCACAGTACTTCTAGTTTTGTATTACACTCAAGAAACTTTTTAAACAAATTGAAAATCATGGAGTGATTTATGGAAAGTAAGCCCTGCATTTGTATATAAAAGAGACAAAGAGAGTTTCTAAATGTTGAAAACAATATTTTATTAGATCTAGAGATCTAGAAGTGAATAAGATTGGGCAGCTGGCTCAGCTTATTTTAGCCCTCTCCCTACATCAGTCAAGGTGATTAAAAAAAATGTTTGCAAACATGTTTGCAAACTACTAGTAAGTGTCGAGCTCGAGTGTTATGGAGTTGTTTTTAATATATGGGTAAGATGCTACAGACCATGTGAAAAATGAAAGGGGTGGGGGGGGGGGGGGGGTAATGTTAAGAAACGTTCAAAACGCGATATTTTTAAGAGTATTCAGGGCGACAAAACATTGATTTCAAAATTAAATATCATGAGTTAAATTTAATTAAATGCAATGGCACTTTACAAATTAACAATCTAAATCTTTTTAAATGTGAAAATCTGTTGATCCTGTTAATAAATTTTGTAAAATAAAATTACGAAGCAGGTCTGTAGCAAAGGTTTTAAAAATGGGGTGGGGGGTTAAAAATATGACAAGCTTTCAAAAAGTGTCCAAACTCAAAAATCCTATTTTGTGTGTGTGTGTGTTGGGGGGGGGGGGGGTGTTCTTTTACTTTTTGTTGCATTTTTTTTAATCCTGGAATTTGCCAGTACTTGACCTTACAGAAACGAAAAGCATTTGTGAGTGGAAAGTTGGGGGTGTGGGTGTGTGCAGCATCTAAATGAAAATTTACCATAGCAAAAATCTATACTCAGAAAAAAAAGCTGGGGGGTGAAGGCTCACCGCGTTCTACGGGGCTGCGAGGAGTGACATTGTCCACGTATTTTTTTTTTAATGACCCTCGTATTTTCCATCGTATTTCTGTCTGTGTCATTTTGGTTGTTCTTTGTCAACATTCACAACATACAATATTGCTCCTTGTAATTAGTAGCCTCAAAAAAATTCAATATAACTTAAAATCTGGAATCACTTGGAATTTTTGTTTTATTCTTTACACGACTTTAATTTGAAATGCGTAGTAAAAATAAATTACTAAACTAGAAATAATGATATATATACATTTACAGATAACTGAACATTAAATATGTCTTGGAAATATTGATGATAATTTTATTCAGAAATCAGCTGGAAGAATCACTGTACTTGCAGCATGACTTCATTTAATTAAGTAATTACTTATTGGACAGAACTTCTTGTAAGTTTTATGGAATTTGAATTAACGTAGTTTTTGAAGTCTTCAGTTGGACCATTGAGAATGCAGTAACACTTCTCTGAAAGGATTTTTTAATCACCCACGACCTCTTTTGATTAGTTGAAAATTATTGAAGTGTTTTTATGCAATAAACTGTTGACTGATTTGAAGTTCTTCCTTCAGAAAACATGACTTAATTATTATGATTTTTGTCTTTTAATTCTGTGAATCCCAACTGCAATGTATCACCAGGAAAAATAAGTTTAATATATAAAATGTACAAAAATTTTGGAAAAACCAAAAATAAGGTTCGTATTACAGTAAGTAATGTACTTGGTATTCCTAATTTTGTATTATCAGAAGGAGGACACTTTCAGCAGTGATTGCGACAAATAAATTTGTAAGAAGTGGTTGATAATGTGGACTGGTCGTGCAACACTAGTACTTTCCGAGGACTCACTACTTATTGGCATTTTCATGAGATAATTACGAATTCTCCCTTTCTTTCATAAAAACACAGACATTTAGTTAGCTACATTGTATTCTAAAAATGCTTTAAGAATTGTAATGCATTATTCATAAACTTTGAAGAAAATATAACGGTCAATTAAAATAGTGAGTTGTAAGGTGTCAGATGAGGTACGTGTACTTGTAGATCTGTGGTGAGATGTAAAAATGAAAGAAAAAAAACCATATTGTTTTTTTCTTGTGAATGTAACGTCCTTACATGTAGGTTGACTGACCGCTGTTGACAATATGAGGCGTAAAAATAACGAGAAATATTGAAGCTAATGATACATATGGTGACCCCAATAAAATGATTTTGTTTTTCTATATTTCTTTATTATGGTAGGATCTGTAACAAACAAGACTAGAGGTTTTATGTCTCTTACATTCAAATAAATTGTTCCATACATGAAAGAGTACGCAACATGAGTTGTGAGTTGTATGTGATAATTTTCCCATCATTGAGTGCCTTGGACTGGAGGTTATACATGTAAAATATACAGAAAGCAGTTTTTAGAAATTAAAACACTATTGAAATAAATTTTCATCAATTAAAATCTTTAATTTTAAAATTTGTTTTGGTTATTAATATGAAAAACATTTACTGTTAATATATTTAAATCTGTGGATGAAGTCTTCAAAAACATTTTAGTTGTAGAAAAGAAATGTGAAATTATATTTTTTTAAAAATTGAAATGAAAAAACGAAATTCAAGAAAAATTGTTAATTTTCAAATTTAAAGTTACCACGATCAAAATTAAAATTAATTTTAATTAATTAAAAAAATTATATAAAGTGGAAATATTTAATATTTTCACAAAAATATTAGAATGCATGTCTGTAATATAGCTTATAAACTAAGCAAATTGATTTGTCGGGGGCAATTACAAAAGGTAGATGATTTGTTGATTTTTTAAATTTTGCATTGATTTTTGATTTCAATGGGGATTACATGTTGTAAATTGGGTAATTGGCAATTTATCTTATATTTCAATTTCTTTTTAAAATGTAATTGTTTTATATTGATTTTCTCATTTAAAATGTTTCTTGAAGATTTAATCCACATATTAAAAATGTTAACTAATAATGTTTTTCATATTCATTAATTTTTTTTAATTGAAAAAATAAAATGTCTACAAAACTCTTCTTGACAAGTTTTATTGGATATTCATATGCATTAATTAAAAATAAATTTTAAGCTCCGGGGTGTTTTATTTGCAACCAAAACAATTCCATTTTCTCTGGAAAATAAACCCCCCTCTCGTCCCTTTCCCAAATGAGCTTATATATATAGTGCAAATTCAACACTGTTCAAATCGTAACCCGGGGATTGAGTGGAGCCACAAGGTTTTACGTGGAAATATATAGGAAAAGTCTTTGAAAAATCTTTTCAAGAA